ATTGCCTGAGAGATGGGGAAAAGTAGTAGCCAGCGATGAACAATACTTTAATTAATCTGTTTTTATTCATTTTGTTTTGAAATAAATGCATTTTTGAACACAAAAAAATAAACCGAACTAATTTGTACTCCTAGGTCAAATATATTTTCATATAATTTTTAAAATTATTCATATGTGTAATTTTCAAGCAATTAGTTGTAAGAAAAAACCGATTTGCTTTTTACTAAGCAAATAAAAAGTTATTTAGAAATTACACAACATATAAAAGTCTTCATTTCTGCATTACAAAATTATATTGACATCATCTTTATTTATATTAGTAATCTCGTTTTCGAAATTTTTCTATTTATTAACAAAATTTTATGCGCATGTAATAAAAAAAAACATTTTAAATAAAATATTGATCGACACAAAGCGTATTTGCTATAAACGCAACATCATTAAACATGTTTTTTTTATTAATCTTTCATCGATTAAGCCGAAATATAATACATACCATACATGTCGAATAATTATTTTGCCTACATTTATTGATTTAGTACACGGATAATTGCAATTGTTATATGAGAATATATTATTCGATCTTATATAGATAATTAATTGAATTACCTATATCAGAAGAGTGTACTAAGAGGTAAGAAAGAAAAAAACAAGATTTTCACGTGAGAGATTATTAGCGTACTATACTTTTTCAGCCACATCGATTAATTGTATTTGACAAATGCGATAGAATCCACACAACGAATGTTTTCGTGTTCTCGTGTATTCGCGGCTTGTCGATACAACGCATTTATTATCAAAATCTCCCTCTTCCCTTCTCCACTCCCTCTTTCTCTCTCTCTCTCTCTCTCTCTCTCTCTCTCTCTCTCTCTGTACTTTCTTATGTATTTTAAATATTAAACAGAATAAAGCGAGATGTATTAGATATTATTATGGTACGTATTTGTATAATATACATAATATTAAAATTTGTGAGTATGAAAGTTCTACTCTTGACCAATACGTATTTTAATTTTAATATTTAAGATGTTACATTAAATATGTTATATTAAGAAATTAATTGTAGAACTTTTAATGACACACTAAAACATGAGATATGATAAAAATATTGTATTTTTATTCAGTGGAACAGATTATTGGGAATAACTCCAAAAACTTTTCAGTTTTATTAAAAATGTAGTTTGTAAATAAAAGATGGAAAGAAAATAATAATGAAAATGTAAGTGTAATATACAAAGTGCGCCATCAAAATTCGACAAATTTAAATTTTCCGCTATATTATGCCTGCGCCAGAGGTTGTTAGTGTCCGAGAAAGCCTGATGGTTCTATTAAACAGTCATATTCTCAAAATGGTGATGAAACCAAGTGCGGAGTATAATCGAAGAGCCGCGATCGAAGATCTTCACTGGGCGCTCAGTAACGGAAATAATTCGGTTCTTTGGATCAACTGTTTATGACATTATAGGAAAATATATGGTTTTAGAACAGTCCAACGAAGGTTCCAGTATGCCAGCGAGCAAGAATCACTCGAAAGAACCGAAGAGAAACCCCCGCAGTCGTTGAAAGAGCCCAAGCACTGATTTCGGATGACCCAAGGTAATCATTGCGAAAATTAGCATCGATTGTTGGTGTAAGCGAGCTAACAATGCGTCGAATTGCCGAGGAGGACCTTCAATACAAACCGTATACATTAAAGTATACATACAACAAATGCTCTCTGAGGCCAGGATAAGTCGAGTTGCTCGCCTCGGCTCCTATTCTGGCTTCCCAACAGCCCAGATTTAAATTCTTTAAACTACTACGTATAGAGCGTAGTTGAAAGGGTTACAAACAAGTCTCGGCATCCCAATGTGTGTCATTAAAGACCGCTATTGAGACAGCATTCGTCGGCATGGACAGCATTATATTATAGAGTGCGTACGAAGTCTTCAGACTGAGAATGGAGGCCGGCATTCAAATTAATGAGGGATATATTGAATAATTGTGCTCTACAGGGGTCACCCAAGTGCCATGTAAAAGGATTTTTTGTAATATTTTTCATTAAAAACATTTTGTTTAAAGAAATTGTTTGATTTGTCCGGATTTTGGTGACGCTCTGTATACATGAATTTGGTATACAATAATATTAGTAATTCGTTGTAATTTTTGCTCTTCTTTGCGACTTCTCGTAAGTATGTAATAAATGCTACGAGCGCGATAGTGTAGATAAAATCGTTAAAAAATTTTTTATAAAAGTGAGGAATTGGACAATAATTGCGTGCTACAAGTATTGTAATGCCTATTGACATACAATTAAGTTTAACAAGTTTTCGAATTGCAAAAAACGCTCTTTTCGATTTTTCCTATAGTTATGCTTGAAAATTACACATATGAATAATTTTAAAAATTATATGAAAATATATTTAACCTAATATATTTTTACTGTAATTTGATTACTTATTTCCGATCTCATATGCGTTCGACTACGCGAACTTTTTGCAGATTGAATTTATAAACGCGATATATAATGGATATGGAAAATCATAAAAATTAATCTCTCGTTAATTATCGTTTTGACGTAATTTATAATATTCTGGATTAATAGGAGAGATATATGGTTATTACAATTTATTAAAAGTTATATGGTTATTACAATTTATTAAAAGTTATATGTTGTCTAGAATGTTCTCATGTCTCTTGACACGCCAAGCGGTCGAGAAAATATTTTTCGCTCGACGCTTGCTTAAGTGAAGCTGTAAGGGTGAGGGTAGGCTCTCTTTCGCTCTCAGTGCGCCAACAAGGCAACAATGAGAATGTAGTGCGAAAAGGTCAGAGCGATATGGTCAGCACGCTTCTAATTATCAAGTCACACAGACATGGGCTCGTGCTTGTGTTGCTACCAGTTGTGCCAGGCCGCCGATTGTTGGTGCTGATCGCGTGCTGCAAGCAATTTGGAATTCGCATTACTGGCCCCCGAAAGGACTTTAATCCGACACTTGTGGCAATCTCAGATGCTGGATGCGTGAGAGGATGCAGGACGATATCCTGGATGAGACCTATTGCGAAAGTCATGCGAGAAGGATTCCATGGAGAGATGAGCGTAAACGTAACATATTGTACAATGTAACGTAAAACCGCCGATTTCTCAAGGGATCGCACATCCACGATTAATGTCGAGTATCATTTAGTCAGGCATTTTTTTGTGAGTAACTGCGTCGCATTTGTTAGCGCAGCGCGTGCCATCCTGCTCGATATCGTATTAATTCCGTTACAATTTCGAGTCAACTATTTATACGTCCGCCGCGGCCATTTTGTATTGTATCGTTGCGTCATATTTTTGTATTGCGTTTTAATGTCGAGGTTGTGTTAAATTTCAGATAATATTCTCGCATGTTCTAGAATTTCAAAAATGTTCCATCGTAACCGTTCTCGTTATTCTCGCGATCGAGTTCGAGATCGGATTTGTTGTCGCGTTAAGCACAGCCAATGACCACGATCTTTATCTCATGATTACTTTCCTTAATTATACGGCATCCATTCGTAAAATTACTTTAAAATTTGGGGTTCGTACCGTCGTAAAAGAATTCTTTTATCTAATATCGCGTGTCGTAACGTAATTTGGAAGAGCAATAACGCTTTATTAACGCTCTGTATAACGCATGATCGCTAATTTGTCAGCCAGCATGTACGGAATATTGTAAATGAATGAAAGAATATATTTATTATCATTTTATTGTTATAAATTTATTGCTGTATTGCCCTGCTCATTCTCCAAAATATCTTTCATATCTGGCCACGAACAGCCCCCTCTACAATTACCGTGGCCCAACAGTCGATTATCCGCGCCGTTAACGTTCGCGATTCTGAATATATACAGATCTCTATATTTTGAATAACAATTTTAAGAATTTCGCGAAAGGGTGGCACGCTTCTCTCGTGTCTAGCACCCAATTATCGGTGTTGAGATTAAGAATATTCTAAACTTGTAAGATCAATTGATGTATTGTCTATTTTGAGTATCAAATTATTATTATTTGTGAAAACGGTATAGAATATTAATCATGAATTGTTACGAGCGAGACGCACTGTAATATATAAAATATTATAAAAAATTCGGTAACTGTCTTCTGACCGAATATTATTCAATGATGATACAGACAAACTTACAGACTAACAATAAGTCGGAGATGTGTTATTAGCAGCTTACGACACAGACTCGATCAGAACTAAAGGGATCTTCATTACAATAAAAGAAGTGGAGTTTTCGATAAATTTTAACCAATAACATAATATTTTCGAATATCAAAAATATGCGTGATAGGGATGAAAGAAACTGAAGTATATGAGTGTCGATGACTCAAGAATCCTTTTAGGGATGGGTCATAAAATATTTGTAAGACTGAATATTCAAAAGTGTCTTATAGGTAGACGAAAAAAGAACATAAAAAACGATAGATGGAAGCAAATAAGATGAATTGCAAACAAGATTTATCAGGAATGTTTAGAAAAAAATGTGTAGAAAAACTTTATGTTAAAAACGTGACATTAACAAAAGTGATGTGGCACGTAACAGAACGCACGACGAAGTTGCACCATGCTTGTGAGTGCAGTTGTATATATTATATGTAGTTAACCTAGCTTGCAAAACAGACTATTTTATTGGACATTTTTCGCACAATCTCTTTAATGTAATTTTAACTTTCACTCTTAATTTTTTTTTAATTAATTTTTCTCATCAGGTATATTAATTCATCATCCGACTTGATGACGATGCTGTTAACAATTCCATGAACACACATAATATAAATCATTCATTATGACGTGAATAATTAAAAGTACTTTTTATGCTGATGCTTGACGCTCATTTTTAATGCCAAAAAAGAATAATCAAAATTGACGCTAGACTTGAAAATGCATGAAAAATGTGTAGTGCCATAATACATCCCACGTAATTATGATCATGATTTTTCCGATGATCTGACAAAATTAGTTTGGAAAGTTAATCAGTTGGCTACAAATTGCAAAAAAATAAAAAATTTGCAAAATACTCTTTTTTAGGAAAAAAGTTAAGATCACCCTAATTTTTTTAAATGGCACTACATATTTTTTACTTCATAATATTTAACTGATGTCAAGACGAGTTCAATGACCTGCTATACTATGACCTTGAGATGATCTTACAGTCAGACGTGAAGAACAAACGTAGCCATTTCGGAATTCGTGATATTTCCGAATGTAGTTCACACGTATATGTAGTATGTACGGAGAAAAAATATCAACATAACTTGTAGTATAACGTAGCTCGAATCAACAGTTTTTATGTTCAGTCTTAATTTGTTGTTAGAGCAAATCATTCAGTCTCAGTTTGTCGAAAATGTATTCCTATAATAAGAGAAAGTTGATATGCTGTTAATATTCGGTGAATGTAAAAGGAATGCACGTGAAACAATTCTGCAATTCTGTATGCCACAAGGTACCCACAGAGACATCACCCGTGTGCAACAATGTTTTATAACATTGAAAAGAATTTAAAAAATTATGGAGAATTTGAAAAGAAGAAAAGGAACAAACCGCATTTAAATACAACTGCAGACAATACTCTTATGGTCTTAGCACATTTAGAAGAAGATCCGCACACTTCTATTCGTGCAGTTGCTACTGAAACTGGTTTATCTAAGAGTTCTGTTCATAAGATGATAAAACAGAATTATTATCATCCTTACAAAATGACCAAAGTACAACATTTACGTATAACTGATTCACAACGTTATCTAAATTTTATAGCATGGCTAGTTGTCACATACGAAAGTAATCCTGAAATATTACATAATATCCTATAGACAGATGAATGTAGGTTCTCAAATGATGGTATAAATAATCACCACTTTTGTTCGAAGGATAATCCTCATTGGTTCCAAGAACATAATTTTCAATAAAAAGTTACAGTGAATGTTTGGTGTGGTATACGGTCATCTGATTGGACCTTACTTTTATGAATTTGATAGTCCAAGCTTACTTAAATTTTCTTCGGTTTCAACTTCTAACATTGTTGCAAGTGCTTCCAAATGATGTTGTGCAACGTATTTATTTCCAACAAGATGGTTGTCCATCTCATAACGCTCGGATTGTTGTTCAATATCTAAATTCAAAATATGGAAAACGTTGGTTAACTTACGGACCAATTCCTTGGCCACCTCGGTCCCTCGATTTGTCACCACTAGATTTTTTGATGATTATGAGATCATTTGCAATCAATAATCTATGCGGTACCAATTCAAAATATGAAACATTTAAAACAGCGAATCCGTACAGCATGCGAAGAAATTCGCCGTGATATTATAGGAGCATCTAATGAAAATTTATTACATAGAGCAGAATTGTGCCTACAAGAAAATGGACTATAATTCGAACTTATTGTAATTACATAATAAAATCAAGGCTTATAATAAATCAATTTATGATAAGTGTCATCGTAAACCTTCAGTTTATAAACCTGATGATTTTGTGATGATCAGAGATTCAGCTGTTAAATCCGGAGAAAGTTAAAGCCGGACTTTAAAGGTCCCTACAAAGTAACAAAAGTCTTAGATAAGAATCGCTATGTGGTTCAAGATATTCTCGGATACAATTTAACCTCCAGATCATACAACTCGATTCTTTCCTCTGATAGAATGAAACTACGGATTAAAGCCTTACTTGAAACTTTACCTACGAATTGCGAATGATTGATTTCTATATTTATATTTTAGTGGTTATGTGAAAATGCTATTTTAAATGTTATATTTTAATAATGAATAACGAATTTGTATTCGATGATTGCATTTTGCTTTTTTTCGAATGTTTTCAAATGAATGTTCGAGTCGAACATTATGTCAGGGCTGGCCGAGGCTGTAAGGTATTAATTCCCTATAGGAAATACTCACGTAATACTCATGTCGCGATTGAAGCGCCGTCGTCATGCGATTGGTTGACGATGGGTTGCCATGATATGATTGATTTGTTTTGAACATCGGACTGTCTGGCGGACTTTTTGGCGAAACGATTGATAAAAATGTAACTGAATAATAAAAACTTAATTAAATTTATTAAACCTACGAGTTGAATCATAATTAATCATAATTAAAAGTCTACTATGTCAGTCAACTGACGTTGTCTATAAGAAAGATCCTGACAATTTGAAGTATCAAATTAATTCTTCGTCTACAGAAGCTTGCACTCTCTTTCAATAGCAATTGTCAGAAACTAGATTCTGAGGGTAGCATAACAAAGATTTTCTAACAGCTGAATATCTGAATAATCTGTAGTAGATGCTTTTGACAGGATTTGAATTTCTGGCCATTTGATTTGGCATCGATCATAACTAAAAAATAATATCTGTTTTCGTGGGTAATCTGTTTCGTGGATCCGCATAATCAATGTGTATCTGATCGAAGTTCTGTTAGGCCATTCTTATTGATGAAATAGGGTTTTAGCCTTTTAGTTACATTTAGCCTTATGTTACATTTTTCGCAACTAATTTATTGATATCTAAATCAATCAATGACTAATAGCAATGTCTTCTTGTTAACTGCTTCATTTTTGTCATCCCCATGTGTGTGCTGTGAAGTTCAAATAAGACACTAACACGTAATGCTGCTGAAATATATATCGATTTCCTTTAAAAATAATGTCATCATTGTGTAATTAATATTTTGATCACTGCCTTTTTTTAATTCGTTTAATATTTTTGCTAATTCTGGATCCATGGTAAGTTCTGCAATCAGAATGCTGAGAATCAAAAGATACCAGATCTATAAGATACCATAATTTGGTGTATAGTAACATGTAGGCATACATAAGAGAAGAAGTCCTATGGAGATTGAAAATGCCTATAGGCTACCGTGTGCACATCTCCTCTATTCTATGTGAATCTATTTATTCCTATATCAAAGTGTAGTATCCTATAGGCCTTTAGTTCTCATGAAATATATGTTCTTATGGGTATCTATACTAACTTGAGAAAATTATTCGTAACTCCCAAAAACTGTAAACTACAATAATAATTAATAAACAAGATACGTTCCATGTCGAGTAACAAAAACTCTGACTGTCATAAGGAAAATATATACTCATGTATATTTTGAGTCACCAAACATACATTGTTTATCACGTGTTTATCACGACATTCAGTTTTTGGAGTTATGGAAAAATTATCTTAGATTTTCATGTGGAATTACACCAGTCAATTGTTACAGCATTTTGTGTATACATTCTAATGTATATTATAGGGATTATATCCCTATAAGGGATATCTCAGAATATTTATGACTATTTTGGGACTATAGAGAATAGCTCAAAATATTTGAAACTATTTTCGTGTGCAGATAGAGCAGATAGAACCGAAAGATCATTTATTATTTTGCAATTTTCGCAATTATTATTCAATGAACAGAATTTCTAAAATCGACACATAAGACAACTTTAAAATATCTTTAAGTGTTTTTTTGAAAAACATTTTTAAAATATGTCATAAAGAACTCTGAAAAATATCTTGAAGTTGTCTTATGTGTCGATTTTACCCACTTATTCGGCAATCTTTTGAAAATAATATCGGTAACTATTGTGAAAATTGCAAAATGATACAGAAATTTTCGAATTTAGTCTACTTTATCTACACACGAAAATAGTTCCAAATATGGAAATATCATTTAGATCGGACTGCATCATGCGCATTATTCTTTTGCCCTGCCATCCTATAGGAGCCTCTTTTCATAGACTCATGCATCATAGGTTCGTATGTAAAATCTTGTAGGAAAATTTCATATTATCTTATATATACATGCTGCGTAAATCCTTATACAAGCTTCTACAGAATCTTAAAGGAACTTCTATAGAAACCCATGAAAAAACCCATGAAATTTGCAACATGATATGAACCTTTTCTCATGGGGACCTGTCAAATTTACCACGGGTATCTATGGTTAGGCAAACGCAGGAAAATTTCCCACAAGAATTTGCAGCAGAGTTATAAATATTACAACAGCAAGTCCATGGCTATGCATCATACAGTTAAATAAAAGCGTAATATATTTTTATTATATTATACATTTAAATGGAATGAATAAAAAATGTTGGACCAATCACAAATCGGAAAGGTGGCCAGACTCTGATTAAAGAATCTCTAGTGCATCCCAATATTTAATTGCTCGAAGAACAAGCTATTGACTTGAATACTATAATATCATTATAAAGAATTCTATTTTGAATAAAAAATATCTTCCTAACATTTTTTAAATATAAATTTTGTCTCAAAATTGCATTGTGCATAAATATTTAGTTATGTTTATTAATTTTTAAATTCTTAATTTTTTTCTTAGATTCTCGTTTTGCATAAAAAGATTATTTTAAGAATATAATCATACAAACCTCGAACTTAATTCTTACAGATTATAATTTCACAATACTTTACACTGCGTACTTTGCGCTACGATTGAAGCGTCGCTGAATATCCATTTCACGATCGTTCCGGGGTACGCAGATGTCTTGCAACAGCATATCAGTAAGACCGATGATCTCATGCCGACGTAACGTCAGATTCATCACTTTGCAACTAACGCCGAGTACCGACAGAAATAGCGAGAATTTCTCGATGAACGTCTCGAGATCCTCTGTTATGAAGCAGTCAACTAAACCGCAAAATGTGAATGAATAAAGTAGAAAATTCATTACGATAGAATAAGTGATGTACGCCCAATACTTGATAAATGTCAAGTTAATGGGTCGCCAGTATCCGGTATATGTTAATAGCGCGAACGATAACGAAAGAGGGTGCATGCGAAGATCTTAGATAAGTCTCGATAAAAAAATATTTCTTGCAAGACAATTAGTTCTGAGGATGCTATTATATTGCAGTTTCCTGCATTTCCTCGTCAGCGTTTCATGTCTCGTACCGCTTTCCTTATTCTCTCTTATTTAGGAATTACTTTGACTTGTGACTTACAGATAATTCATGCATAAATAAGTTTTGTTAATCGTTTCATGAAATACTACTTGCAATTCTACAAAGACTATCCATATGCTATAAAGACACAATTATTAAGTTCCATCTTATTCCATCTTATTTAAAAATGAATGTTTGTATGAATTTGCTTCCTATGTTATTGTCGTGATCGATAAGCGAGTCTTATCTGTGACATAAAATACACTCTTCTAATTCATGCTTTAATTACTTCTGGAACTTTCAATTATCCATCAGCTTTGCATTTTTAACAAATTTAAACTTGAATTACAAGAATACATTAAAGTGATGTGACAATTGTCAGTTTTTCATTAAATTAGTGATGACATTGTGTGCGAAAGACAAAAGACTTCTAGGTGGAATAATATAGCGATGATAGCTCCGTTATTGCGAGTAAAGTAAGTCGCGTTCGATTATCCATTAATATATAATAAATGTAGCAAGGGGTAAAGTGTGCACCTTGGAGAGGCCGATACACATCCGTCTAGCTGTTTTTTTTTCTATACTAAGCAAGAATTCGCTCTTCCTTTTTTCTAGAAATTTTGCGGAATCATAAGGTCTGTTCTTTTTATTTTCTTACTACACCATTTATATTTTCTCTTATTGTCTTCTCCAATACAGAGAGAAAAAGGAAAAAGATGAGTCGTGCATAAAGTTCATTTGAAAAGAACAGATCTCTTTTTCTATCATCATTTTTAACACAATCAATTCATCAAAATGAGTCCTTCGAACTTTTTTGGAAAAACTTTGATCATATATTACAAGCTAAGACAGTTTTTGTTTATAAAAGAAGAAAGTAAGTATTTTATCCTCAAAAAAATACATCAGAGAATTTATACATAAATAATGACAAAAATATGTATTATACATATGTTATATTACCGTCTTACGTATAAGAAGAACTCCTATTATGAGATACCAAGCTCATTTTGGTTAATTGTAGAAGTTTATTGACAAAATTAAAAAAAAATAATTTTGAAAGGAATTTAATAAATTTTAAGTTAATGTTATGTAAAATTTAATTCAAATTCTTTTTAATTTTTCTTTTTAATTAAAGAAATGTAAAAAGTGAACAAATTGCAAAGCTAAAAAATTGTGCTCCTAATACGAGATGTCCCGAGAAAACGCAAAGTAGATACATTAGTATTGTAATTAAAAAACTTTATGTAATGTTTCTAAAATACAAATAGACACAGTCAGTGTGCGCGCAAAATGGACATGCGATGCATTGTATCCAGGACTCATCTTCAGATAGTTGGAAGCATCGCAGAAACAGTCATTCGATGTTCATTCCAGTTGTCTTTTTTATTATTGTATAATAAGATTTAGCAACGATTTTCGCTATGATATAGGAATATAGGTTACTTCATATTATAAATACTCTGGATGTCTCATATTACGATTTCCACGCTTACAGTTTTACGATCAAATCTAACTTCTAAATTAATAATCTTATTTAAGCAATTCAACATATCCCGTATTTTTCTATTAGTTATACGATCTTACTCTATCACTACAAGAAGAATTTATTACTTACTACAAATACTTACTTATCAAATAATAAACAAGGTTTAAAGGCTCATCTCAATGAAACTTGAAGACATCCAAATTCCAAAATCTTTTTTAACAACAACTATAGGCATCTAAATAATAACAAGGATCATAATCTAATAATGAATTTTCCACTATATAGTTTTCAATCCAAGAGCAATAAATTCAAGGTGAAATCAATAGATAACGTTTATTAGTTTAACAAAAATGCCATTATCTCATATCAGGCGCCTCTCTCATTACTTTCCTCTATATATAAATTTTCTATGTTATGTTGTTATAAATAATGTTAAAGAGATAGTAATAAATAAAAAATGTAAGTAGTGTATAATTATGACTACATAATTAATTACCCAGAAAACATTTTATTCCCAAACTGTTGCCAAATTTCAACGAAATTAACTGTTAAACCAGAACCTACTGTGTCCTGCTGATGAAAATGTAAAGCTTGTCGAAGCGTCAAAGACAAACAAAGATTTTTGTGAACAAAGAGTTTTAACGCTTCTTAAACATTTCATCGGATTTTTATTGATTCTTAAGCGTGATCTACAATAAATTACAAATTTCATCGCAATGTTTCGCACTGCCAATCAGAAGCGTCAAGTAATTAGTGATGTTTCTGATTGACTGTCATGAGCATTGCGACTGATGACGGTATGTTGGTAATTTATTGTAGATCATGCTTTAGTGTCGAATATTTATACACCCCCGAATTCTCTCCAAACGCTCTGTAAAGTGTACACATGTGTTACTATTGGGATTTTCTTTATTTTTGAATAAGATAAAAGACAGAGCTTGGTTTCTGGCGTGTGCGAAACAATAATAAAAAAAAGGTTAGGTTAGTACGAGAAGGGTGCTCACGCCATCTATCAGGTAACTGATATAATAATAAACAAAAAACGTGATATATATATATAGTGGGACTAACGGCATACAATCAACACCCCCTCTTGACGTAGTCTCACTCGATAAAAAGAAGGTTACAGCAATGGAGCAGCTTTGCATGGGGTAGAGGCTTCGTTAGCATGTCCGCTGGGTTTTCTGTGCCCGCAATATGTTTAACTTCCACGTTGTCTCCAACAGTCTGTCGTAGAAAATTAAAGCGAACATTGACGTGCTTGGTTTTCTTCTTTATTTTCTCGGATTTTGACAGCTTAACAGCCGCTTCATTGTCGCAATAGATTATTATTGGTTTCTCAGAAGAAGTCATGAGTTCTTTCATGAGATCTTTAATCCATATGGCTTGTTTCGATGCTTCATAAGCAGCCTGCAGTTCAGCAACAGTTGTGGAGTCAGCGACAATCGTGCTCTTCCGTGATTCCCAGGATATTGGTCCACCGTTTAATACGAACACATGTCCATAAGTACTTTTAGCAGTGTCCGGACATCCAGCATAGTCTGAATCACAATATCCAACAACTTCGTTTTTACCTTCACTAAACTGAATTCCTACTGACATTGTGCCTTTTAAGTAACGGAAAATTCTTTTCACTTCCTTCACGTTATACGGTGGTGCTTCAACAGCGCGAGCAGCATGATTAACCTGAAACGAGATATCTGGTCTCGTATGCGTCGCTGCATATAGTAAACATCCAATAGCCTGTCGATAAGGGAATGGAACTCCAAATG